ATATTTTTGTTCTTAATTCCTGAACAATCTGTTTATTGTTCCTAAATCCCTGTCCTAATCCTTTATTTTGTTCCTAATTCCTGAACAATCTTTTAATTGTTCCTAAATTCCTGTCCTAATCCTTTACTTTTGTTCCTAAGTCCTGAACAATCTTTTAATTGTTTTTTAGTCTTTGGTCATTAATTTTGACTCTTTTTGAGTCTTTTAAGTAAAAAAAATGTTCGCCTGCGGCACGATTTTTTGTTCCTAATTATTCATTTTTTTGTTCCTAAAAAATCTATCAACTATTCTTCGCTCATATATACATAAATATATATATATGTAATTCTGTTTTTTGATTGAATACTAAATTGATTATTTATATTTATCTTTGCTATAGCTTGCCAAACGGCTGGACCGAATTGGCTGAAATTTTGAGAGAACCCATGAGTGACCTCGGGGATAACATCTGCTAAGAAAAGTTTATTTATGTTTGGCAAAATTCAAATTTTTTTCAAATTTAATAAATTCCACGTGCGGCATAAGTACCCCTAAGTTTCCGAAGAACTTCGCAAAAAAATGTTGAAATTTTTGGGAGCATCGCGAGCCAACAGTCGAGGAAAAGTCATTTTGAAGAAGAAAAGTGAGAAATAAAAAATATATCTTTCGATAAACTTGTTAAATTAGAAAAAAAAACCTCCTGTCTAAACATTGAATCTTATGGTGATCTCTGAACTGCAGCCTGGGGGGGATACACAATTTTAAGACACAATTGCCTTGAAAGGAATTGAGTCTTTGCAACAAATCCCAATTTTCTAATACCTAAATATCTACAACCAAATTATGTAAACCGTTGATATTTCAAACTTTGATTGTTTGATATAACAGAAGTCATAGTTTGAAATTTCTAAGGTCTACAACTTTGGGTTGTTAAGATATTGGGATTTAAAAATCAGAGTTTGTGGCAAAGACTCAATTTCTTTCTTGACTTTTAATCGGTAATTTTTGGTAAAAAAAAATACTTTTCAATGCATAGAATAGGATAGAGGACGGTCAAAAGCCAGGTCAGTGTTAAAACAAATATTACTCAGGCTAAAAACAAATAACTTTTATTTTATTTTTAAATTTCCAACCTTCTTTAAAATCTAGTTATGTTTGAGACTGTATTGCAACCCACATATTTTAAGTCAAGGGCACATAAATTGTTTTCCAGGGGGGCACATAAATTGTTTTTCCAGGGGGCTCATAAACTGTTTTTCCAGGAGGCACATAAATTGTTTTCCAGGGGGGCACAAAACCTGTTTTTCCAGGGGGCACATAAACTGTTTTTCAGGGGGGCACATAAACTGTTTTTCCAGGGGGCACAAACTGTTTTCCAGGGGGCACATAAATTGTTTTCCAGTTGGCACATAAATTGTTTTTCCAGAGGGCACATAAATTGTTTTCCAGGGGGGCACATAAACTGTTTTTCCAGGGGGGCACATAACTGTTCGTAAGATTGACATCTCATATGTTTTCAATCCTAACTCCTCTTATTAAATATTGTAACATTTTACAGATATATTTCAGAAAGTGCACGTTTTATCTGGCTTTAAGTATCAAAAATACAAAAATTTAAATATTTAATTAAAAAGTTAAAATTTAGATAATTTTTCTTTAAATGGAGTTTTTCGCTTGTATCTGAATTTTTTTACATTTCAAAGATTCTAATACAATCATATTTCTATATTTACATAAAATTAACAATACAATTTCTATTTGTTAAAGTTAATACTATAAACACTTTGTTTTCTTTCAAAATCCTTGATTTTCAGCTGAATCTCTTTTAATCCTAAAAAGAAATTTAGTAAGATAAAAATATACCATAATCCTTAAATAATGAAGCTTACGTTTTGTGTTAACATAAGATAATGCTTATCTAAATGCCTGAAATCAATATCCACATCGAAAACTTTTGATTTGAAGTGATCTCTCTTAAATAAGAAATAACTTCATTGGATCACAAAAGATTCGGCTTAGCGCGTTCAAAAAAACAAAAGTTTCAACCTCTGATCTACTCTCATTGACATAATGCACAATTCAATGCAATATAAGCGTTAGACTAAATACAACAAAAATACTGTTTCCATTACTCTTATTCAAGTTAAAGGAACTGTTTTAGTGATATCAAGTAAACCTTCATGCACTCTGTATACCATGGAATTTCCTGGTACTTAATTTCCAGCAAGAAAAATTAGGATATCTCTAGGGTTGTATAGTTTTCAGGGATGGAGTTGTTTTTTGATGATTGGGGGAAAAAAACAAATTTGTCATGGAAAGGCAAATTTTTTTCTTGAAAAAATACACCCCTGGATATGTCTGTCATCCCTGATGAGACTAAAGTTCGAAGGTTACTGATCTTATTAGTCGATTTAAAGATCCACTTAAATTACCTTGACAGTCCCTTTAAAGAGTAGAAAAAGTGTTCCTTTTGTAAATAATTACGTTGACAGTCCCTTTAAAGAGTAGAAAAAGTGTTCCTTTTGTAAATAATGCTAAAAGTTTCGATCAAATATTATTTTCACGGGAAAACCTAATAAATAATTGAACTATGTAAATAATTAAGTTTGATGGGGGAAAAGTGAAGGGCAGCAGGGGGGATAATTTAACCTGGGGAATAAACTGTCAACTCCATCATTTATGAGTTAAAATTAATAGATTGGTGCTGGTATTATAATTTGAAAATAATGAATAAGCTTTAATAGATATTAATCATAATACTAGTCTAAATTTAAACCATTTAGATTTCAGTATTCATGAAATCATTTATTTTTAATCTTCAGTAACCCTCATATTTAAGCGCTACATGCCCCATTCACAACGGTACCCATTAGCCCGTCAATGGATTAACACTGACAAAGATATTGTCGTGTTTCTAGACTAAAAATATAATTGCTCAAAATATGTTATTCCTTTTTTCTTGCTCCATAAATTTGCAAGTTACTTTTATAAGGCACCGCAGTAAAATAATCAATTTTAAAAGAAAAGCCCGGGATAGCTCCATCATTTTTGATAAATTTTTAAATTTAAAACAGCTCGTAAATCAAATGTTCAAACTGTTTCTTTAAGCTAATAAGGGTAAATCCGACATCATTGATCAGCTAAAGGTCTGAAGGGAACCATTAAACTTAAATTTACGTTTTCAGCACCTTTAATGTAATAATAAAAAAATCAATCTACATTTCCTATTTATAAATTGTCTTTTTGGTTTGTTTCCAATAAACGTTTTCATAAAGGGACCGTTACTTATTTGGGTAATTTCCTGGTAAACTAAATTGCCTGTTATCTATTCGTTTCTATTAGTCATACAGTTCAATCTATGGACAGAGAAATAGCCGATTTATTGTTTAGAATTCAAGCGCAAAGGTACGATACCTTTTCATAGACACTCTTTAAACGTTTTGTTTTCAGTAACAACGGCCCAATAAATTCTAAAATTATCATATTTCAATGACATCATGTGTCAGCCATTATATAATAAAATAAGAAGATAAGAAAGAATAAGATAAGAAATTATCGTTTTTCGTGTTCAAACATGATTTAATACATAACAAAGACAGCATTCTCTCTCTGTCAAACCGGTTCCTAGATTCCAACTCGGGGATTCCTGGGGAAGTAGGGAAAACTTATCAATTCGTCAAGTTATATTTTATAAATAGACAATTTTTAAATGAATTTGAAAAAAATTAAAGATATTTACAACTAACTATTAGATACATCAATTTAATTTAATTATTTGAATATTTTTTTAATCCATGACTGAACAACAAGCATCAAATAGTGTAAATGCAAAGGTATCATACCTTTGCGCTGGAATTCTGAAGGAAAAATCGGCTTTTTCCCCGGCCACAGTTTTTGAAAAAATAAGATTAATACCAATGAATAGCTAACAAGCTATTTAGTTTACCCTCAAATTACCCAAAAAAGTGAACGGTCCCTTTAAGCGTTGTTTTAATTATACTGATAATAAAGATAATGTGATACTAATGCTACTCAAAATAGTAACAGTAACGGTACAGTAACATCAACACCAACAAAAATAATAATAATAAAAATAATAATAATAATAATAATAATAATAATAATAATAATAATAATAATAANAATATACCGGATATATAGTCCCTTTATACAGGATATATTGTCCCAGTATAACGAATATGTAGCCCCAGTATATCGAATATATAGCCCCAGTATACCGAATATATAGTCCCAGTATACCGAATAAATAGTCCGAGTATACCGAATATATAGTCCCAGTATACATTAATATAGCACCAGTATACATGATATATAGTCCCAGTATACCGGAAATGTAGATTGTATACCGGATATATAGTCCCAGTATACCGGATATGTAGATTGTATACCGGATATATACATGATCATATTAAATATGTTTTCTTAAATGTATTTTATTTCTAGAAAATGTTAAGATTGCCAAACCATGTAAGTTAAATTTGATTTTCTCAATTCTCAGCACACAAAAAGACAAATTTAGACGTTTGTATAGACGATGATTTTATATGATTTTTCTTGATCACGCTTTCAACACGATAAACTATACATTTTCCTATATTTTGGCTGATTGTTTACTATTCAATTTAAGAACTACTTGATTTACAAACTATTTGCTTTATAATTAACAAAGCTGATTTGTAAAAGAAATATATATACTGGAAGTTATTTATGCGTTTTATTAGAGTCTGACTCACGTCCTCTATAAGACAACATTTTCTGCCTAAGCTTTAGCACTCAACTGGTATTTGCAGCTTCAAGTCCGTTTTAACTGTTTTTAGTAAACAAATTTTAAAATACCTAAAATGATACAGTAAAAGTGATGGAAAATTACACAACTATGAACTTGGATCAAATGTCGAAAAACGGGTTTGAATTTTTTAATCCTAGTGATTCAGAACCATGTTCTAAAAATATGAGAAACACAATAACACAGAATCTCTTAAAATTTAATAATTGTTTAATCCTGTTTTCCTTTTATTTTGAAATTTGCATTTAACACTTTAAAATTGTCTGTCCTCACACAAAATTTAGCAGTATAACTTACATAATAACGAACATTTTTGACAATAAACCCGGGATCAACCTTTAAATCATGAGGACATTTTTTTTCGTCAAAACTTACTGAAATTCTGTTTTTACTCCAGTTTCTTCCATTACTTCTCTAATGGCGGCCTGGAAAACAAAAATTTAAGGTTATTTCGAAACTAAAAACTAAATAAAACTAATATTAACAAAATTTATAGCTTAAAAACATTTAGAATTTGGAAGAACATTTAAATGGTATTTTAAAAGTCAAACTTTATTTATTCATGATAAGATAGAACATCTTTGTTAACCCTATCCCTGCTGGGGTACTTGAAAACCAGGATACGCTGGGGGGGTCAATTTGACCCCCCCCCCTCTAAATCCCTTGTTTTATGTCCAAATATGACAAAATATATCTTACATATCAAAACTTTAAAAAAAACATGGACTATATTGGAACTGCAAAAAACTAAAATTTTCAAATCCTTAAATCTTTTCAACTTGACGGTGTAAACCTTTAATATTTCGAAAAACCATTTTATCTAACAGATTTCATAGCTTGAAATGTAAAAGGTCTACGACACCGGGTTGCCAAGATACAGGGATTAATAAGTCAGAGTTTATGGCAAGCACTTAATTTTTATGAATAAACAGGAAAGTTCTGAACATATTTTAATTTCACTTTTTCCAATAAATAAATCCCGATTTACCTCGTGAATTTCTTCTCCAGGATCTACATATCCTCCTTAAATAAAATTGCATTATTTTTTTATCGCCTTTTGACTAACATTTTCAACCTATGATTACTTAACCACCCGCTCTGCCAAGTTTTGTGAAAAATTCGCATGTCAAAAGACGATGCAATTGTGTATACAACTACTTTTTCGGGAAATGAAAAATGTTACTTCACCACCGGGTTCCCGATTTTAAACTACAATTGAAACCCTTGGTAAAAAAAATCCTTAATTTAAGATTTGTATTAAATAGAATGTTTAGGATTGGTTCATCAAAAAACATTCATTGAGTATTTCCCAATAAGTCAAATTTCCTAATCAGTGTATCTTTACAAACTGATTGTGTAAACCTTCGATATTTGCGCGCAAACTTAGATTATTTGATCAGAACGAGTTTGAAATATCTAAGAAATCTTTAGAGGTTTAAGTTTTAAAAAATCCATAAGTATGCGCCTTAATGTTTTTAATTAAAGCAAATTTCTGACAGAAGATAAAGTCAAAATCAAAAAAATAATCTGTTAATTTCCCATAGCCAAGAACGCACAAAGGAAATGAATTTTGTCACAAACTTTCTAATCCCTATATCTTTGCAACCCAATTTAGGACACCTTAGAAATGTCCAGCTATGAATTTTGTAAAATCAAATAATTTAAGTTTGAAATATCAACTATTTACTCCATTAGGTTGCACAAAGATATGTGGATTAAAAAATTGAGTTTGTGGCTAAAGGAATTAGTCCTTGCCACAAGCTCTGATTTTCTTACCCCTATATCCTTGCAACCCAATGTCGTGGACATTTGATATTTCAAACTATGAATTCTGTTATAACAAATAGTTTAAGCTTGAAACCAGTGGCGGATATAAGGGGGGTTATTGGGGTTATTTACCCCCCCCCCCTGAATCCTGGGGGTAAATACCCCCCCCTAGAATCCT